AGTCCTCCGGGACGTGTCAGTCGTCAGACATGGACAGCAGACCTACTCAGCCCGTGTGGGTTTGGTCAACACAGCTCAGAGGTCACCAACGGGTGGCTGTGACCGGACCTAACCGTACCCAACCGTAACTGGCAGTTTTGGATGGGTGCCGGTATGCTCCCCAAGGATATGCAGTGGTCTGACTGGGTGTGAATATGTGTGAGAATATGCTGGGTGGAATTGGGCAGGGTGGGAAAGTTTCAGGGGGGCATGACTGGGTGGGGTGGGAAAGTTTCAGTGGGGCATGGCTGGGTGTTGTCTCGATACCCTGGGCGAGTATGGCTGGGTGGAGGTTTGGCCTGGGTGACCCAAAGCCTGTAGGCCATAAAACTACTATAGGTACTAGCCTTCTAGGTAGTAGGTAGTATTAGGGCCAGGCCGCAATATTAATTTAGCCTGGGCCCTTTTTGCCGGCAATGTGGCAGGTATTGGGGTCCTAATAGTAAGAAATTGGCCCCCTCATTTTTATTTTCCTACCGTTGTTCTTTTTCACCTGTAGTGGGAGTAGGCCCTAAAATGGGCAAAATACGCTATGCAGAGTCGCAGACCAATGGGCCTCACTCCACTACTCACCAAGTGTGTAAAATGGGAATGAATCTTGCGGTACATCATGGGAAGATTCACCGCCTTTGTTTTTTGGTCTTTCGTGCATGTGGTGAGTAGTGGAGCGAGGCTGGGTAGTGGAGCAAGCCCGCCTATCCTGTAGAAGCTTGGTGTGGTCCCTTTGTGCTGGCGCCGCCAAAAGTTTGAAGTTGAATTAAGCTTCGACTGGCGCGGGGGGTTGGGTTGCTCCACTGCCATTTGGTCACTCCGGTGGCTTGCGCATTGCATGCAGCGAGTGAGCGCGGCAAGCAAGGAGGTGCGTGGTGGGAAGCCCTGCAAGCGTTATGAAGGCGTTGTGAAAGCGGGCACGGCTATTGCGAGTGGCAATAATAGGGAAAGCAGGCGCAGCAACAGCTACACCAAGGCGAGCCTGATGGCGCGTGGCTATGCAGGCACAGCGGCAAGCTTGCAACAGCATTCAGCACTTCGCACAGAGAGAGAGAGAGAGAGAGAGAGAGAGAGAGAGAGAGAGAGAGAGAGAGAGAGAGAGAGAGAGAGAGAGAGAGAGAGAGAGAGAGTGGCTATGTAGGCACACCGACAAGCTTGAAATATCGGTGCGCGACGAGCGTGCAGCACTGTTGTGAGTGCGGTGGTTTGAAGATTGAAAGTGAATTTCTAACATACATAGACCTAAGTTTGAAATCAAGGAAGAAAAAAAATGCATGGTGGGTGGTAAACTTTGGGCATGGCCCGCATGGGTATGGCCAGGCATGGGTGGATGAAAAGTGGTCGTGGGTGCGGGCAGATGCGGGTGGAGAAAATTTAGGTCTGGGTGTGGCTGGGTAGGGGTAAGGATTCTACTGCAGATGCTGGGCGAACTGGGCACGGGTACAGAGAAAAATAATTAGCTCAGGTGGGGCGGGTCTGGGKAAAAAAAAAAAAATTGACGTGGGTGGGCACTGGGTGCGGGTACACATGATGTATCAAGGTTTGGATTGGGTCGGATATGGGTGGGAGGAAAAATTAATTTGGCGACCTCTGACACAGCTCTATGACCACATACACGGACTTCCTATCACCTGGACAGAAGAGACTCAATGCAGAAAGAAGAGACATACAGACTCACCAAGTACCATGAGGTGAGGGCACATCCATAGGGGGAGGGGATAGGCTGAGGGCTCCGCGAAGTTATACCAACTCCAGCTTGGTCAAACTTCGTGGTCAACAGCTCCGGTCACACCGGTCAACGCCTTGGTCAACACCAGTGAACACCTTGGTCAATGTCTTGGTCAACGCCGGTCAACAACTCGGTCAACGTCTTGGTCAACTTCAGTAAGCTCGGCTATGGCTGCCGACCCCTTCTCCTTCACCAACCTTCACCTTCCTCCTTCACTTTCTTTCTTCCTTCCAACTCTATCTTCCCGCTCACTTCTAGTCTCCTCCTTCGTCTTCCTCCCCGTGTCCGAGCTCGGCGGCTATGGCCGCCACCTTCTTCCTTGAGCCACAACAACCAATCTTGTATCGCTCCTCTCTCTCTCTCTCTCTCTCTCTCTCTCTCTCTCTCTCTCTCTCTCTCTCTCTCTCTCTCTCTCTCTCTCACACACACACACACACACACACACACACACACACACACACACACCTGTCTCTTATACACATCTAGATGTGTATAAGAGACAGCTCTCTCTCTCTCTCTCCCCTCTTCTTCGCCGTCGTTGTGTGTGCAGGTACACGGCGACTTCCTGCAGCGGCGCAGCTATGGCGGCTCCTTCTTCTTCGTGACGACGACGATGGCGGGCGGAACACTGGGAACCAGCTCTGATACCAATGCAATGAGACTCGTCCTCTTTCTCACTCAGCATGCATGAAAACAGATGGTAATCACACTGGCGCCAGGCGCCCACACAAAGCTCAGAGAAAGCGTGGCCAAGAACACAGTTCAGATTCAACTTGCTTCGAATGGCTATGGCGCCTGTGCGCCCTCACAACACCCTTTCACGCTGTATCCTCAGCAACAGTTCACACACACGCTACTCTGGATCTCCCTGGATATCCCACACACGCTCACAACTCACTGCGCACTCATACACAAACACGCTGCAGCCTATCTCTATTCTAGCACAGCTATGGCTGCTTGCTACCTCTACCTCTAACTAGCGGCTATGGCTGCTTTGTCTCCCTCTCAGCCCACTTCTTCCTTGGGCACCTGCAGACCTCCTTCCACAACTCGCTCAGGCAGCGCTTCCGCACGACTCACAGTCTGGATGAATGAATAACTGGATGCTACCTCTTGATTTATACTTCAGTTGGTTGCTGGTCTGCTCCTTTCCACCGGGCCTAGGGTGCACACGGTCCCACATGGTACGTGCCGACTGGACAAGGTGCGACTGGGACTGGGTATGGCCGACTGGACCTGGTAAGTCTGCCCACTTGCCCATTTGCCCACTTGCCTACGGACTGCTTCTGAGACTCTCGAAGGGGCAATCCTAGAAGACTCTAGACCTTCCTACTTGCCCTTTCGGTACTGTAGCAGCTACGACTAAGGTTGACCCTTCAGATCTACAGCAGCTACTACGACTCCTACCTTACAGGTAAGCTGCTCGAACCTGCTTAACTCTCATATGTACAACAGCGTTAGACAGACAACGTTTAGGGGCAGGTCACGGGTTCAAACCTAGATGGGGCAAACTGTACTGTACACGGGTTCGGGACAGGTCTAGGGATCGAGCCCTGGGATCTGCATCTGCTACTGCAAAGGTGAAAACCGTTTCAGCTAGCTCTGTATGCTCCCCGTACTGAGAAATGTGCAGAAACACAGAGAAAATATGATTTTGAGGGGGAGGGGAAGAGGGGTAGGGATGTTCGCGGCAATAAATTCGCCCATCCCCCACCTCTACCCCTGCTGCCGCTGCTGCCCCCATGCTGGAGGAAAAATAAAATCTGTGCGGGGATCCTCCACTCCTGCTCGCCCCCATCTCCACACCATGGCCACCCATGCCCAGGTTTTGCTGCACTGCCAGATGAGTAGGTGGTACTCCCCAGGCCCTCAAGACCAGAGGACACCTGTGGCATACTGCGTAGTCACACGGGCCCTGCAGGGCCCGTCCCAGACATTCAGCCTAAAAGCCTAAAAATTAGGGCTTACAGGCCCAGTTCGTTTCAGCCTGAAAGCTGAAAAACGAGGGCCTGCAGGCCCTACCCCGTTTCAGCCTGAAAGCTGAAAAACGAGGGCCTGCAGGCCCTACCCCGTTTCAGCCTATTTCTGGGTCTTTTCAGACCCAGAGTTTTCAGCCTGAAACGGAGGGCCATTTTCAGGCCCTCATTGTTTCGACCTGCCCCTAAGACTCAGGCACGTAAACAGGGATGCGGAACAGGCCAGAAATAGCCTGTTCCTCACGAGTTTGAGCAGGAGCTGCAGCTGCAGCCCCTGC